CAGCGTACTCAAGGGACAGTGAAGTTAGTCTTCTTCAAGCTTCTCATAAACCACCGCTATCTTTGTGTCTCGATTGATTGTGGTGCAACAACTAACTTCATGTCACCACACGCGATACGCAAAGTGGGCTTGGGGATGAAGCAAGTGGCCTTGCAAAACCCTTGTCGGACTCAAGTGGGCAACAAAGAAGTTGTCTTATCTACACATGCAATCAAAGGTGTGAGCACTACCTTTGGCAAGGACAAGACAATCACCCACGCATTGAACTTCTATGTCCTTGATAAGTGTTCTTCGACGCAGTTCTTGGCTTGGGTTGGCTGCAGTCCCAATTCGAAAGTACCAGGTGGAAGAAGCCACTTTTCATGGTCAAAGATGTTCAAGGGAACGAGCTTCTCGTCCTCTTGGATGAGAAGCATGAGTCCCCAGTGACTTTTCTCAATGTCATGCAGTTCTGCAAAAAGGGGCGCAAGCACAAAGAGGACAAACAAATGTATGTTGCCTATGTTCGCCCTACTCATGTGCCATCTACTTTTGTGGCTAGTACCAATACTACTTCATCTAATGAGTCTACTTCTAGCACTTCTATTTATATACCTTCTACTAATCCAAATGACTCTACTTCAGATTATGTCCTCCATACGTAATCTGCGACCTGATCTAGGTGACCCGTTTGCTGATCCTTCGCCCCCACCGATCCCAACGAGCATTCAACCTACTTGACCGATTCCTTGAAATCCTGGTCGAACCACATGGAGTCCCCATGCGATCGGTCTGACACATAATCAAGTTGGTCGAAGGTGTTGTTCCTCCAAAGGTCTGTATATACCGAATGGGATCCGGCGAGTAACTCCGAAACCAATGCAACGAAATGATCAACAAGGGTTGGATGAAACCTAGCGAATCTGAATTTGGTGCACTTGTTTTATTTGTCCCTAAGAAAGGAGGCAAGCTCCGTATGTATATTGATTATCGCAGTCTAAAATGCATCATCAGAAAGAATGCATACCCATTGCCACGCATAGATGACTTGCTTGATATTGCCGGTGGTTGCAAGGTCTTCTCCAAGATCAATCTCAAGTCTGGATACCACCAAATTGAAGTTGATCCTCTAGACCAGCACAAGACTGTGTTCAAGACACGCAATGGACTTTACGAATTTACCGTAATGCCCTTCGGCCTCACGAACACATTGGCCACCTTTCGAAGCCTTATCGACAAGGTCCTCCGCAAACAGATTGGTCGGTTTGTGGTGATTTATCTCGATGATATTCTAACATTCAACAAATCCATCGAGGAACACATGAAGCACCTTGAGGAATTCTTCACCATCCTCAAGAAAACGCAACTTCATCTCAACTAAGAGAAATCTGAGTTTGGGAGGGATCGCGTCATCTATCTTGGGCATCGGTTGACTACTACAGGTCTCGAGCCTGAGGCAACCAAGGTTGAGGTCATACACAACTGGCCTCAACCCGCGAACATCCGCAACATGCGTTCTTTCCTTGGTCTCGCATCGTACTATTGGAAGTTTGTGCCCCGGTTCTCTATTGTTGCTCGCTCGTTGTCCTGATTGACAAGTAAAAATGTACCTTACGCGTGGGATGCAACATGTGAGACCACATTTCAAGACTTGAAAGAAGTCTTGGTGAGTTACCCTGTACTCAACATTGCAGATTTCAAACTAACATTTGTAGTCACTACGGATGCTAGCCAGTATGGGATTGGCGCAGTGCTACAACAAGATGACGACGATGGCTTGCGGCCGCTCAAGTACTACAGCAAACGCATGCCCATCGCAAAGGTAGTCACTTCCACCTACATGCGCGAGCTCTATGCTTTGTGTATGGCTTCGGATCATTGGAAGCACTATCTCATGGGACGTCACTTCAAAGTGTTCTCATATCATGAGACTTTGAAGTGGATCAAAGATCAAACCACCCGGTCCCCTACGTTACTTCGCTGGTTCCATGAGATCGGCATTTTTTACTTTGAGCTAAGACATAAAAAGGGTTGTTATAAACGAGTTGCTGATGCATTGTCTCGCCACCCCGAGTACATGACTTGCCTTGTGAATTCCTACGACCTCTGAAAAAAACTGGAGGAGATCGTAGAACACACTACCAAGGACTCGAACCTTAGTCCCATCCTTGAGCAGTTGCGGGTTGACCCCAGCAATCAGCCTCATTTTCACGAATATGGAGGACTGGTTTTCCGACGATATGGGAATAACGACCGTTTGTGTGTGCCCAACCATGAGCCTCTCAACACGCACTTCTTGGATTTGGCTCATGGCCGGAGTGGACACTTCGGCATGGCAATGACATACGGAAACCTACTAAGACAGTTTGATTGGATCTATTGAAAAGTTTGTTGTCGAGTGTCAAGTTTGTCAACGAATCAAACCATGTAGACAAAAACCCATAGGACTACTGGCACCCCTTGCCATTCCCGATGGACCTGGGGAATCCGTCTCTATCGACTTCACCGGCATGGGAAAGGTAAGTAAGAACGGCTATTCGCAAGTAATGGTGATTGTTGACCACTTCTCTAAATTCCTCAATCTGATTCCTTTGCCATCTCATGCCCCAACTGAATTGGTGATCCGTGAGTTCAAACAGAAGTACATTCTGCAGTTCGGAACCCTGAAAACTCTTGTGAGTGATCGGGACCCCCACTTCATAAGTACAGAATGGAAGGACTTCACGTCCCAACTCCCTAGCCTCGAACTATGCATGACATCTGGCCGACATCCCGAAGCCAATGTTTTGGCTGAGGAGATCAACCAGACTGGGTTCCAACTTCTCCGCGCTTTAATCATTCCGGATCAGGAAACGTGGGATGAAGGGTTGTATTCAGTCAAAGGGGTATACAACAACTCCATTCATTCTTCCACCAACATAACGCCGAACAGGCTGCATTACGGTTGGCAGATTCGTAATTCTCTCTCCTACTTATTCCCTGAACAGCCAGCTGGTCTAAGGCCTGGCAGGCCTGGATTCAGTGCCAAGTACGATCGCTTGCTCAAAGTTGCCATCGCAGCAATGACCAAGCGACAACACGCAATGATCCATCATGCAAACAAGAAGCACAAACCTTCAGATATTGAAGTGGGAAGTTATGTCTGGGTCAAGATGTCTGAATTCTCAAAAGAAGAGGGAGTGTCACGCAAACTTCTCCCGCTCTATTACGGTCCGTGGGAAGTTCTGGACGTGATTGGCAAGGATGGGTTTGGGCCCTCATTACACAGTTGTCGTGCCACCTCATCTGCACACATACCCCGTATTTCATGCATCAAATTTGTATATCCACCGTGATGCTAAGTCCTTTGATTACCGTGAAGACATGATTCCTTGTGCAATCAATGGCGGTCATGAGATCGATAGAATCAAACAGCACGTAGGGAAGGAACGTAACAAACAGTACCAGGTTCACTTTATGTATCACCCATTGGACGATCTCTACTGGATCTCCAAGAAGGAACTGCTGCACAACGCACCTCACGTTGTTAAAGCCTACGAGCAACAAATCGCCTCTAATGTTGTAACCAAAATCTCTGCAAAGCTCAGTACGGCACAGTAGGTCGCTATATCTCCAGGCCGGGCGAAGAGCCCAGCCTCATTGTCGATGTGCAAGTTCGGCGACACACTGGTTGGAGCACTGGCTGGAGCAGCGCTGCTGGGGAAGGAGCAAGGACACGGAGGAGGAAGAAGACCAGGAGGAAGGGGGAGCGCCAAAGGTACTTACCTAGCTATGGTGGCAGCCATCTTCATCACCTTGGTGGGCGCTGCAGCAGAAGACTCCAGCTGGGGTAGAGCTACACCAAGAAGCTTCGAGGCAGAGTCAGGCATGGCAGCCTGAGCTAAGCAGCCATAGCTGCTTCATGTTGTCATTTGGAGAGTCGGGTCATGCCCCGGTGGTCCACCATAGCCTCGGCCTAGGAGGAAGAAGGAGAGAGGCGGCCATGGCTACGTGGACCTCAAGTGATGCCTGCAGTAGAAGAGGATTCGGACATTGAATCTGGTTCAGACATTCAACATTGTACCATTATTTTGTGTGGATAAGAGAGGAGTAAAGGAGGAGGAGAGTGTTTGGCGAAGACGAAGAGCATTATCATTTGTCTATGTTGGTGTACATCATCTTCTTCTTCTTTCTTTCTTCTTCTTCTTACCCTCTCTCTCCTCTCAACTTCATTCATGTCTTTCTGCAATTGGACGGCATTATACTATCTGATGAATCTGTACGTCGAAATTGGACAGGATCATAACAACCATCCTTTTCCAGATGCATTCGACCATCGTAAATTGCTGTGGCGCTTGAGACGATCCAAATGGTCTGGAGTGGATTCACATTTGTCACTCTCAAGGCTTGATCAATCACCAACGAGGTCAATCCCTCTTCAGTACATGGACAACGTCCAGATTGTGATCAGGGTCGACCAAAACGGATAGGATGATCGACTAAGAATATGGTATGTTAGTCTCATAGTTCCATATATTACCACACGATACCACATAGTTCTAGGAAGGGAGGGAAAAGGGAGGGAGAATGCGCATGAGACTGGCTCAACATAGTTCCATATAGTTCCCTTGGGTCCATATGAGATCAGCATCTAATTCAGTACAGTGTCAGTCGAACAGTGCAAAGGAGCACACACATATTATAACATAATACCACATAATTCCACATAGTTCTAGGAAGGGAGGGAGAAGGGAAGAAGGGAGGGAGAAGGGAGGGAGAAGAGGGAGAATGCGCATGAGACTGGCTCTCTGAACATGAGCATAGTTCCACATAGTTCGACATAGTTCAACATAGTTCCACATAGTTCCCTTGGGTCCATATGAGATCAGCATCTGATCCAGTAGTGTCAGTCGAACAGTGCAAAGGAGCACAAGCAACTCACCCTGTAGTGTTGCTGCCAATCAAAAAGTCAAGAAAGGTAACCCAACTAGAGCCAGTTAAGGTCCATTGGGGGCAGTTGGCACCGGCGGTTCTTCGCTTACCTTGTCTTCAGCGAACGGACTGATACGAGTTTATTTACTCGCTCTACCACACCACAAACCGTCGCCAATAACTGCCCATCCACCAGCTGCGTTCCATGGCCCCTGCAATGCAATCAAGAACCACACACATCTGTCAAAACTCACCACATTATACCAAGGACATTCGCCACCCCCTCTCCCCTCAATCCCCCCAAGCCCTCCCCACCTCACCCTTCTTGGGTGGGGGGGGTGGGGGGAGGGGAGGAAGAAAGGGGAAAGGATGTTAAAAGGACACTGAGAAACAAACTGCAGAAGCCCGTACTCAGACTAGCACTACCACGGATGCATCTGACCATATAGTGTCACAATAACCGTGTCTGTACAAGTTGCAACCAACCTTACTCCTGTAGGTATTAGGTACTCATCAATGCTTTCTAGCTTCGGGCTCATCCGTGCAAGCACCGGATCGAGCCGGCACCCTTAGCCACAAGAGCCAGGAGTGCAACCAACCTTACTCCTGTAGGGTAATGAGCACAAGGACAGTGGTTGAAGTACAAGAAAAGGTAAACACACACAAGCCCCACCTAATGTTGGCCTCGGATTGACAAAAGCCAACAGGTATTGCTTTCGGCTAGAGGCTAGTGGCTATTGGCTATTGGCTATACTGGCTTAGGTAAATCTCTGGTTTATCTCATTTTATCCATCTATGAAGTGTTTTTTTCCTATGAGGTTGTAAACACATTGGTCATCTGATGTCTCCCTAGAATCTGCACATTTCTGAACACCTCTCCGGTTATCTCTTAGCACTTACGAATTTCTAAATGTTTGTCTAAATATATTTGCCCGGGTATTGGCTCTAGGTGGTTGCGTACGTATCCGCTGAACTGGATGGGTTGGGAACAAGAGGCAGGAGTGCAAAGATTGGGAGGAGGAGAAGGGGAAGAATTGCAAGCATATGAGATAAGGGACAGGGGAATAAAGAAGAGAAGTGCAGTAGGGTGGGAGAGGAGCATAAGGGAAGGAAGTGTATTGCGCAGGTGCGGGAGGGGGAAGGCGGGAGGTGGGGGTTCGGGGGGTGGAAGAAAGAAACGAACGAGTGCACGACAAGGGAGAGCGAGAGGTTTTTTCGGGGGGTGGAAGAAAGAAACGAACGAGTGCACGACAAGGGAGAGCGAGAGGCAGAGGAGATGAAGAAGAAAGCAGAAGAGGGCAAGAGGGGGAAAAGGGGGGGGGGGAGGTAAAAGATAGGGAGGGAGGGAAGGAAAGGAAAAAGTCAAGATACTGGAAGAAGCCGGAGAACCAGAGCAGCAGGAGGAGAGGGAGGGAGGCAGAGGAGTTCAGGAAGTAGAGGAAGGGTCAGGAAACAAGGGAGAGAGAAGAAGGAAGCTGAAGGGGACAGCAAGTAGGGTAGGAAAGAACGGAAGAGAAGAAGAGGAAGGAGAGGAAGAAGGCGAGAAAGAAGGAGAGAAAAGCACAGAGTAAGGAGGAGAGGAAGGAGACGAAGGACGAGGGAGGGGAATATTGCATTTAAAGTACAGAAAAGAATAGAAGGAGAGGAAGACGTGGAAGAAGAGGAGAGAAAGGGACAGAGTAAGGAGGAGAGAAAGAAGGAGAGAAAGGCACAGAGAAAGGAGTTGAGAAAGAAGGAGAGAGACACAAAGTAAGGAGGAGAGAAAGAAGGAGACGAAGGAGGCGGGAGGGGAATGTTGCATTTAAAGTACCAACCGCAAGAAGCCTGCTTCATGGTCCACATCGATCACATCACCAATACTGACAAAAACCGAACGATGCAGTGCGCCAATGACATCGCCCAGTCTGTGTTCCACTTGCTCCAACCGCTGTCGCTGCTTCTCTGTAAAATCTAGGCCTTTCATACTGATTACCAATCCCAAGATCAACAAGCTCTGAACGCAATGATAAAGGTCCCTTTGCTCCAGTGACTACAGACGAATCAATCAACATAGTCAATCAATCATATAAAAGATACATATACGACTAAGACGCAACAAGCAGCCAATCTAATCGAATCCATCCGCTCAAAAGTGTTTTGCACATGCACAACGCACATTCAACAAAATGGCAATACATCCGTCACTAAAAATAGTAGCAGCATGTCCTGCACGTCCCTAGCCACCACACAACATGACAGCACGCCCATTTGCTGACGCATTCCGGCTGGTAGCGCACCCACCTCCCATTGCTCTCTGCTACTTCAGTACTGAAAACAGTAGTAGCATGTCCTGCACGTCCCTAGCCACCACACAACATGACAGCCCACCTGCAGCAGGGCCAAGGCACAGATTAAGAGACTACTCACCAAACAAGAAAATGTCGAGTGCACCTTCACTCACCTGTGATGTTGGGAAACATCACTGGAACTCATTTGGACATCCGTCAAAATTGGAACGGTACAGAGAAAAGAAGATGAGCATAGCCCATTGGAATGGTATAGAGAAGAAAAGATGAGCATAGCCCATGCAAATGGATGACACACATAAATCGGCATATCATAATAACCAAATAATAATAACAAGAGGGGCCAGTGCGGCTTCCCCGCATGACATAGTAGGCCAGTGACAGACCGTGTCACTCCAACACATGGGGACAGTGAATCGGTTTTTCAAGAAATGAAAATGCATATCTGTACATACGTAGTTATGCATCCAAAAAAAAGGTACCCATCTTGCACGCAAAGAGAGGGAGTGAGATAGAGGAGGCGAGAGAGGGAGAGAGAGGGAGAAAGAGAGAGAGACATACAGACACAGAGACCAAGACAGACGGAAAGCGAGAGAGAGCAAACAAAGACCAAGACAGATTATTCTCTCTCTCTGTCTCTCTTTCTCTCTCAAGTACACACACCAATCTCCCTCCCACCTAACTCTATCTCGATCCCTCCCTTCCCTCCCCCGCAACTCTCTCTCTCTCTCTCTCTCTCTCTCTCTCTCTCTCTCTCTCTCTCTCTCTCTCTC